TACACACTTTGTCCAAATGCAGAAAGCAAAGTCTTATCAGTGGTTCTGTTTGCAGGGGGACACTAAAAGATAACCTTTGTTTGTGCAAATACTTACCTGATAAGATCATCCATAAGGGAACGGATGAAATTTCTGGTTCTATCTTGCCTGAAGATTATACTTCAGCTTACAAAGTATCAAACAGAAAACAGTAATAATCACAAACTGAGAATGCTCGATTCTCTCTCTGGACTGAACATCTCCTGACGGTGGGTTTCTTTCCCACTTGCATTGATTCCTTTTTTTCTAGCACATAACAATAAAGCAATTTGGAGACCTTTAACCAATAGGACTTTGGATTTCATTGTTCACAGGAACTAGCAAAGCTGGAGGGCTGGTTAGCATTGAACTTGGTTTGTTCCTTGCAGGCTTAACCCTGCCTGGTAGCCAGGGTTTAGAGCACAGCAGCGATCCTGTGACTCACAACTGTTCTGTTTTGCATCGATGGTGAAACTGGCCAGGGAGTTTCCAAACTGTGAAACTTAGGAGGTGCTTTTAGTGGGATGTGCACTCAGTACCATTTGCCTCTCAAGGGTCACAGGTCACATTCTGAAACAGCAGAGGTTTGAGTTTTTATTGTGATGAGTCTTAATCGCTTGCGTTTGACCTCTGTCTATCTCACTCCAGTTTTTTCTGTGTTAAGATTTGACTGAAAGGACACTGTTTATTGAATGTTTTTAATTAACCAACTTTAAAAACAATACAGTTTGTTACAGTGCATCGATCAAAAGATTTAAAAAACTGACATCTTTTATTTTGCTTTCAAATAACTTACCAGATATTTCCTATTTGGTGTTTGTAAAGGACCTTTATATAAAGGGAAAAATAAAATGCAAGCACATGCTTTGGTCTTTTTGGATCAAGGCTTTATATTAACCCAAGCGTGCTCAAAACTCTGTCTCGTGTGGAAAGTAAATACATATTTTCTAGTGAAGTGTTTCTAAGTGTAGTTATCTTAGCCTGCTCTGTGATCTGTGTCAGATTTTTAGACATGAATGTGATTTTGGGTTGATTTGGATGCCACGTAGTACTTTGTCTGGATGCTAACACAATGGCATGGTGTTTGTGTGTGCCCCGTCTTGCCTGCTGTACTAGTCTAACTTTGGCTTCCTTTGGCCAGTTTCAGTTGCAGTTGACGGGGCTGGAGATGGCAAAGACATTACATTCCTACTGGTTACATGAAAGGAAGCATTTGGGTTGAGAAGTAAGAGGCTCTGAGTTAGTCCTGTGTGCCCACTTCTGAAAAAGACTTTATATAAGGCCATCACCTTATTAGGCTTAGAGAACCTGTGCAGACAAACAAGCTGTTGGAAACCGGCCGTCATTCATTTGCTTGCTCACTGGACTACTTGGTCCGTGTGTATTTCCTGCCCCAACTGATTTGCTTGTATTTTATGATGAGGTTTTTTGAAAATGTGTTTGAGTTTGATGTTCTGGTGCCTCTTATGCTCTTGTTCTCCACCCACTGGAGGCTGACAAAACTGGCAATAAACTGACACATTTCTGGGAGATGGCTCTGATAAATTATGTTCAGGTAGGTGTTGAGATTCAGTTTTTCTTTCCAAATGGGATTAATAGAAGTTTTCTGGAGGAGATCTTAATTGCAGATGTGCAGCACAGCAAGGTGTGCTTTTGAAACAGCCACTCAGCTCACCACAGGTGTGGTGAGGGTTCATCATTTATATTTTAAATTATCAGGGACAGACCTGCCTACTTTTAGGCAACTTCAGTGGTTTCACACTCATGGAGCTGTGTGCTCTCCACCTTTGGTGATGTGGGCGGGTGTTGAAGGAGTGCTTTGCACCTCTGTATGTGTTGGGAACCACAGGGGAACTAGTCCGGTTACTTTAGAAGAAATTTTGTAAATGCTGCTGTACATGCGAACACTGGCTGCTCAGCTCTTTTTCTGTGGCCCACCACAACCGAATTGTGATTTTTCAAGTCAATAGAAGGACTGCAAATCTGAAGCTGGACCAGCCTTACTTACTGAGGGCTTTTTTAATACCTCAGTTTCCATAGCAATGGAAATAAGCACTCCTCTTACTTGAGTGCTGGGGGTGTGTGTGTATATGTGTCTTGCATAAGACTGGGAGGGCAGTGCCTCAGTCTTTTCCTGGAAATAGATTTGGAAGGCAGGAGGAGTGTTGGGTGCTGGCTCTGCAGAAATGCTACTGCAGATTAACATATCAATGTCTATAAATACCTGAAGTGCGGAGCCAAATGGACGGGGCTGGGCTTTTTTCAGTAGTACCCAGTGACAGGACAAGGGGCAATGGGCAAAAACTGGAACACCAGAAGTTCCAGACAAACCTAAGGAAAAACTTCTTTACAGTGAGGGTGTTGGAACACTGCGACAGGCTGCCCAGAGAGGTTGTGGAGTCTTCTCTGGAGGTGTTCAAAACCTGCCTGGACTCTTTCCTGTGCAACCTGTTGTAGGGAACCTGCTTTGGCAGGGGGGTTGGACGAGATGATCTCCAGAGGTCCCTTCCAACCCCTACAACTCTGTTATTCTGTGATCTCAGGGAGGGGATCAAATACAGGGAGAGGATGACTGTCATCAGGGCTGGCTGAGATGCCCCTGACAAAGAAGTCCCTTGATAATGAGTTTGCTTTTCATCTGCACACTTTTTATTAGGAGTTAGAACTTGCAGGAAATAAAATGTAGTCCTTGAAGGAAGGGGAACGTGATGTTAGTCATCAATATTAGTCATTGACAGTTTCTGCCTTATGGGCTATTCAGGCTATTTCCTGAAAAAGGAAATCTTTCATTAGCTAATTATTTTCCTTAGCAGTGCTGTAAGGGCATCAGCAAATAATACAGTTCCTGGCAAAGTTACTGTACTGTGTAGTGCCTGCCTGTGTGATCAGGGTAGAATGATGGGGAAATTTTAATGAAAGAAGTTCTATCAAAGCTTAAAAATGCTAATGGCTTCAAAATACTGTTCAGAGTTTACTCCTTAGCAATCAATTTTAATAGATCTTCTATGTGCAAATGAGGAACCCCAGTGTCACAATGTTGTCTGATATCTGGATTTTGAGTGTTTTCTAGTGGTCTTTGACATTGTGCCAAATGTGTCATGAAGGTGTGATGCAGCAGAGCCACTGAAACACATTCATCTCTAATAGGAGCAATGGTATAGCCTGCAGAACTGAAAGGGAAAAATACAATAGCCCGGTGAGACTGCAGCTGAGAATTAGGTGGGTAGAGCGGACGTGCTTAATGAGTCAGAAGGAGCAAGGGCACAGTCCTGCTCCTAAGGGTGCTCTGAGATGGGCAGTGCCCAGTTGTCAGTGCCTTGCTTGCAGGACACTTCCCCTCCCACCCCAATAAAGCTTAGATTTTTTTTTTTTTCAAAAGTACAAAAGGAGTATGAGACTTTGTACCACTCACCTTAACAGCAGTGCAGAGTCCTAGTCCCTCGAAGGCAGCTTTTAAAGCATCAGTTTAAGTCAGTTGTTTAAGACAGCTAATAGAGTAGGATAAGCCCAGGTGCTTCCATTATTTCTTAGATTCAGTGTTCTGTCAAAGATTGCGGTTGGTACTGTTGCCCTGGCTGATCTGTGTTTTAGCTAATTATGTTGTCGCAGCTTCTAAAATATCTTTTTTGAGTTCCTGTGTACTTTCTTATTATTCTGGTATCACAATCATGTAAGTTCATATTGGCCTTTCAGTATCTTTGGTTTTTTGAACCTTTCTGTTCACTGCCATTCAGTTCTGCCATTCCAAACCAGTGTTTGCCAGCTCTTCATTCATGTGTTTAATAATATAAAGAATTTCATTTCTGTATTGCCTTAAAACTACATTATTGGAGGTATTTAAGAATTGAGCAGACATAGCGCTTAGGGACATGATTTAGTCGAGGACTCGTCAGTGTGAGGTTAATGATTGGACTTGATGACCTTAAAGGTCTTTTCCAATCTAGGCAGTTGTGATTGTAATGTAAGAACTGGGTTCACAATTTCTTTTGTGGGCAACATATAGTGTAAAATAGTTGCACCTCTTGAGATATTTGGTTGCTTTTTTTGCAAGAATGATGTGATTCTCCATTCTCCGTGATACCTTTGTTCTTTGTGGATGGAAAATAAAGCTGGTTGTCTGGTTGTTTCTCTATGTGTGCGCACACAAAAATAGACATTTTAATTAGATGTACTTTTTCTCTTCCTGACATCTTTATGGCAGATACATAGGTTTTAATAAACTTTACTTGCTAATATCCACTTACCTTTACAAGGTCCATTTTTCTCTGTAATGTTACTTTAACCCAGTTTTGCATTTTACTGCAAGTCACTCTAATTAGGACATCCCTTCTCTGTTGAGGTTGCTGTAATTTAGCTTTACTGAAAAAGTCTGTCAGTGGATAATCAATGGTCTTGCCTGAAACCTTGGTTTGTGTAAGGAAAATATGCTTTTCTCAAGTCATTATAAAGTCTATACCAATACATATATTTCTGTATGCAAAAGGAAATTTATATCAATCAGCTTTATGTTGGAAGAACAGTATCTGCATGACATTTTTCCCAATATAGTTATCTCAGTTACAAAACCATAAATCACATCTGAAATTAACTGTTACAGCTTTCTAGAAGATCAGGAATCTTGTACTGAAAACCATAAAAAATACTTTTAATATGTAGTTTGAGCTCTTTGTTTTTATTACTGGGTTAATGGTTTAAAGAAAAACCTTCTGCGCTCAGGATGAGCTTTCAGTGGCTGTAAATGTCACAGTACACGCTTACCAGAGAGTTGGAGCATGACACTGGCACAGCGTTCATTCTTATTGTGGAATTGTTGTGCCCATGAAGGATGCTGTAGAAGTAGCTGGTGCTGACAGGGTGACATAATTTCAGTTTCTGACAAGCTCTCTCTCTCCAGCATCATTGTTCTGCTGTCTTTTGGTGGGGAGAGGAATGAGTTTCCCAGCCAAAGAAGCGCGATACATACCCATTTTTCTCTTTTCCAGGATCTTTCCCAGAGAGTATCTTTTCCAGCAAATCCATCTTTATTCTCTCGCAGACCTTCAGCAGGTAAGCTTCTTCAACTAATTGTACCTGTTACATGTCAAGCCTGTTCTCATCTTCAGTGCTAAAACTGTACATCCCCCTTCTAGCTAATCATAGCATAAATAGCTTTACTTCTAAGCCATCTCTGTGGTTTACAGTTTAATATAAGATTGGGTTAACAGGGGCATGGGTTAGGGATGAGAGAGAGAAAGGCTAGACTGTCAGTGTTGACATGGGACTCGAAAGAAGCTGCAAAAGAAAACTGTTCTCTCTGCAAAGAGAACTTTTCTGTGAGAAATTTTTCATCTGATCAATGAAGGCTCATCTAAGGCTCAACCTACAGGTTATCAGTAGTATTTTTTTCTTTGCTTGAAAGAATAGTTATTCAGGAATTCATGAGTTTGTACAGTCCCTGGTGCAACATGCTTATTTACAAAGGCTGCTAGCCATTACCACAAGAAGGAAAATAATAAAAGAAACAAAAACCAACAACACAAAAACCTCAGCAAAGCCTGCTACACAAAGTTAAGTCATGCAGTTGTTAGTATGACAGATGTGACCACAGAAGAGGTAATGTGCCAGCAAAACATGTCTTTGCATTGATATTGATTGAACTAAGCAAGCACCTTGCAGTACATCTGCCTGAACAGCAGGATTTTGTTACATACCAGATTAAACAAGAAGAATTTGGCAAAAAGAGCTGAAAAGAGAGGATAGGGAATCTTAAGGTGGATGTGTTGCAGTGCTGAGATGGACAATGGAGGAAGCAATGAGGTAAGATACTCTAGCTGACCTGGGCACATCTGTGTTCACACTCTAATGCTGTTGGAAGTGATATGTAAAACACATTATGTTAAGCTTCTTCTACTCATGTTTCCCTTGTCTAGTGTTGCCTATTTTGCAGGATAATGGATAGCATAGTCAGTTCTGGATGTTTATTTGACACATTAAAGTTAAGGTAGTTCAGATGCTCCTCAGAGCTAGAGACTACAGAACTGCAGGAAAAATAACTTTTGTTGGCTGGTGAAGTCACAGAGTAGAAATGATTCCATATATAAAATAAAAAGGCAGTCATCTGAGGTCTAAAACTGTTTCCACATCTTTTCAGCATGTTCTGCTATCTCATCTTTAATAATCAAGCCATGAAAAAGCAAGCTACTTAACTCCAGAGCTGCAGTCTCCCTGGTGGGCCTGTCTATTAGCCCCCAGTGCTTTGTAAGCTGCTTAATCAGTTCCTGACATTGGTAGTAGATGTTTTAGAAGCAATCAGCAGCTTATCAAGCACCCTGTGGGAGGGAGGGAGGGTAGAAATCACAATTCATCCATTGATTTAGCAGTTCCCTTTAGCATGTTTCTTTGTGTTTGCAAGACACCTTCTCTTCCCCTGAGGGCCCCAGCCCCAAACTTATCATATTTAGAGGCAATATAATTAGATTACCATTTCTGCAGAGGTGGGTTAAATTGCATTTACCTTTTAATCTAACTATATCCTTGTTGTCATCCTGGGAAGGGTTTTCCACATTTCAGAGGCTCCAAGTTTGAAATCGGATTGTCTGTTTTTGTCAGAGTGGAAAGGGAGAGTCCTGTTGAGAAAATGAATCTGGAGAAACCCTAATACCCTTGCAGCCCCTGCCTCCCTCCTGGTTTGCCCCCTTACCTCTGCTTTCACCAGATTGCTCGTCATTTTCTACTGACCTGCAGTTTGGGTGTTTTTTAATCCTAACGGTTTCCCCTCCTGTTGATTCCTCTGCTGCCTATTTCCTCATATCCATGGGCTACTTTTGCACTGTATCCTGCTGTCATGTAGATTACGTGTATTTGGGGAATTAACTAAAAGGTTTATTAAAGATTAATGGAAAGATAAGGCGTGGTGAGTGAATTAGAAAAGCAGAGAGGGGTAATCTGCAGATATAAGCAACCTTTACCCTGGTTAGTCCCAGCTCTATTCTGATTTATTTCCTAGCCAAGTTATCTTTGAAGATCCCAGAAAACATGAGTTGTTTCCTACCAAGCAGCTGAGTTTCAAACATGTGGTATGAGGGTATGTTCTTAAGTGCAAAAAAGTTGAAATGCCTGTTTGCCAGTAGATTAGGCGGCATATAATACTATTCTAAAATGAAATCCAATTTAAATCTCTTTCCAGGCTTAACAGAGCTCCATGCCTAGACCTTATGGATGTGGCAGAGTACATACTTGAGCTATCTGATGGTCTGGGAATGGTCATACAAATGGTCCATACAAATGGATCCAAGTGGTTGTCTACTGGGGAAGACCTTAACTGTGAGGTTAAAAGCAGAGTGGAAAAAAAAAGTTAAACAAAAAGTCCTCAGTTTTGTAAACTCACCATATCCTGGTAAGGTAGTGGTTTTGTTGGTACTTGACTCATTAACAAATGCTTGTAGTGCAGATGTGAGTAGGCCTGACCTTTAACCAAAGAGGCAGCAAGTGATGGTCTTTGTATGTGCTTGTTTATTTAAAATAAACACAAACCCAGCAAGGTTTCGCTGTAGACAGGGCCCCAGGGACTACATTAAAGTTTACAGCAAGTCTGTCTATGGGCATTCTCATGGGGTCCATATTCTTAGAATGCTCTTGGAGGTGCTCGCAAGCAAGATAACTAATTAGATGCATTCAGATTTAACAAGCAGAAACACAAAGTGTGACAGCCTGCCTGTTCTGCACCACTGACTACACTTGCTTTCCTTTCCCACCCTCCCTGGCATCATCTGCCCAGAGAGTAATCTGCCGTGCATCACCCATAACACCACTGCATCTCTGTTAGCCGTTTATCCAGGGCTATTCCAATCAATTAAAGCTTTAAACAGGGAGACATCCAGTTGTTAGGAAGCAAGTATTTACTGCTGAAATTGCTGGGTTTAGCAGACATATACACTGGAAAAATGGATTACTCTTACTTATGTGTGGTATAGCCCCTGATAGTGCAGTCATAGTCCAGGGTAGCTTCACCCTAAACCTGTTGGACGTGTGAACTCTGTCCTCTGCTGACTTTACTAATGGACATATCACTGGTTTTGTGGACATGTGGACACAGTTTGTGCAAGCTGGAGTTAAAAGCTATCCATTCATTTTGTGTGACTATGGGGCTGCCTTTGGCGAGACTCACAGTTTTTACACTGTTAAACGTTGATTTAGACAGAAGCTGACTCAGACAAAACTCCTGCATTTCTTAGGAAAAGTAATTCTTGCTACTTATACTAGATTCCATGTTAACAGGAGCTTTTAAAGTAAAGGACTTGAAGTGGCTGGTGTGGCAAGTTCAAAATTCAGCTGCTTAATCCGCACAGACAATTAACTAATGTCTTGCCTGTTTTTTATGTTAAATAGCAAGATATACAAGTGTACAAACATTATTGCAGTGATGGTCTTTACTGCAGAACACTCTTGATCGTGGCAATCACTTCATCCTGATCGTACTACCCCCAAAAGATAATGGTAAAATAAAAAGGATCCACGTAACTGAAAAAAATAACTGGATGTTAAAGATGGAAATTGTGAGTGAGATAGATTTTAAAAGATGATGATTCGAAGACTTGTTTATATGGGAACACTCAGGAAAAAAAAAAGTGACAAAATATGTGAATTTAAGATGATGAGTTGAATTACATTGAATCACTGGGTAAATACTGTTATACAAAATACAAGTGGCTTTCATTTGGTTTATCTCCATTTACTTTGGAAGCAAAGTGAGCTAAATTTTATTAAGGCCATTTTCATTCTGAATGTGTATGTCCATACAGGGGTTTAATGTACTATAATTTATCCATTCTAACATTGTAGATAAACTAATCTGTTAAAATTTAATTAGAACATCCATTTACTTCAGATCAACTTTCCTGACTATCTACCTGTAGATGAACATACAAACAATGTGAAGAACAGTGGAGAGAAAGGATGAACTGGAGAGCCCTGTTCTCACAATAATACAGCACAGGTCATACAGTGAATGAGATACGCATAAAAATCCTTAATGGAAATGCTTCTTTGCAGAACACACAGCGAGCATGAGGAACTTAATGCCACAGTAATATTACTGAGGCCAGAAGTTTATCATCTTTGAGAGGATTAAGTATCCATAATGAGAATGTCCACAGTTACACTATGGAAGATAAAGAGATTATAAGGTTTCAAAATAGACATATTATTCATTGAGGGGATTAGGAAGATATCTTCCCTATTGACAGATGGATCAATGATTTCATCTTCCTCTGACATATATAGTACTGATTACAGTGTCTGATAGGGCTTTGGACTGAATGTTTCTGTTCAAGATTTTGCACTTATAAGGTTCCCTAACAAAAATATGGGGAATAAAAATGAAATTCAATGAAACATAAGTTCCACCTAATTTGAGCCCAGTATATTGTTAGATCAGGATTAGGAAGCCTTAGAAGAACAAATAAATTGTCAGGTCTCGTTTACTTTTCCAGGCTTTTAACCCATGCAAATTTGTGTCCTCCTTGTATTTTCCTAGACTGAGATGGAGGAGGAGATTGGAAATGCTCTTTCTAGCATTTTTGCATGTGCAAAATTTAAGATTGATTTAGACAAGTTGTTTCGTGAGTCCCAACAATAGCAAAGGCTTCAGAGAGACGTGCACTTTTTTTGGTCTTTACTTGCTGGTTTGGGTTTTTTGTTGGTTTTGGGTTTTTTGTTGTTTTTTTTTTTTCCCAGAAGTAAAACTTCCTTTCTGATCACTCAGTCATTACACACATTTATGTTAAATAGCAAGAAATACAAGTGTACAAACATTGCAGTGATGGTCTGAGAAATGCTTATCTTACACAGTCACAGCCTGGTGACTTCAAAAGCCATCAGTGGTGGTGTCCTTGCCCAGCAGTTCCTTTTTATTCACGCATGAAAAGGATGGGATGTGGCATCTAACTCACATGCCTGTGGTGGTGAAAGCCAGTAGTGTACATGTGGCTGTACTGATTGACAGAGCTGGGTTTTGGATAACATACTTTGGGCTTGCTCTAGTTTTAGAAGTGTTACTGGGATAGGTA